AAAATATCACGATACTACACAGTATCGATTTTTTCCCCCAACCCTACAGCGCCACTGTGTGGCTGCAGACACCGTCAGATTCAGCTGAGTCGGATTTAACGCACTGAGAGATCAAAGTGGGCTCGATCTATTGTTAAAGACAGAGCTTTCCTGCACATTTACATGACCCTATTAAGCTTTTTGTTTAACAGAAATAAAAGGTAAACACAGAGATTTCAGTCAAATAAAGCAGCACTCACTCCCTGCCTTTACTGTAAACTACCCCAGCATATTTACATAATCATATCACAGCGATTCATGCAAATTCTCTGGTAGTGAACAGCTGATTAACATGAAGCTCCATCTATATATGCAGAACAACACATTCAGGAGAACGTGAAGAGCAGACTGCAGTTATTTTGGGGGTTTTGGGTTTTTTTTAAAACAAATTATTACTAAGCATAAACCCCAAGCAAGCGTCATTTGACTCCACATGTTATCTTTCAAAGGAAGTCAGAAGAAATTCACAGGGACTCTCTCACTTTAGTGCTGGACTTTATAGTTTGATTAAGGCTGTGTCATATTACACCACCCAATATAAACTTTATGTGATTAAAAAAGTGTCACATCACAATATTAATGATATAGTGACACTGTGCCACATATTCCTTATCATGCATAACAACACACAAGTACAGACACGTGTTGGGAAGAGAGCAGCGTGTCGATTTTGTAGCTAAGAAGATGCTTCTACAATAGTGTGAAAGTGGTTTGGTGACAAGAGGTCAGACCACCAACAAAAACACAATACTTTACACATCTTATATATTTTGCAAAATACTTTGGAGCCAACAGACTTGTTTTCACTGCCTGAGGCAAACACACACCACTGAAAACAGCCAGACTGTGACGACACGTGAGTAAAGAGAAATAAGCAGGCAGTGAATGTGAACCAAGTGTTAACAAATTCAGTTTCACATTTCAAATGAGGAAGTGTGTCATTCATTTGTTTGACATGTCATTCAAAGTTATTTCCTATACTGCTGTAAAAGAAGACGCTTTTTATTCAAATATCCTGACAAACCTTGAAGGCTATAACACCATCCCCTAATTGTAATCACTAAGCCATAGGTGTCAAACTCTGGCCTGCGGGCCAAATTTGGCCCGCAGCCTAATTACATTTGGCCCGCGAAGCCACACAAAATTACTATTAGAGCTGGCCTACTGGTATTATACAGCTACTATATATATTGTTTAGTATTAAGCTTTGCTTGTTCCATATTCAGGTTTTCAGCAAAACGTGTTTGAGTCCATAAGAAAAGATTCATTCTTATATCTGGAGGAATAAATATATTTCAATAAATATTAATGTTAGCCCGCGACTTTGTTCCAGTTTTGAATTTTGGCCCACTGTGTATTTGAGTTTGACACCCCTGCACTAAGCAATCACTCAATAGTGAAAACAGCTAGCCTGCAAGACACACTTCATGATCAATGTTGGATTTTGTATTGCAAATTTCACAGACATAAAGAAAAGGGCAAACATGACAATCTTCAGCCTGCTGGACACCAGAGACACATTTGAGTGGGTATCAGAAGAATCCAGCACACCTGTGTTAATAGACAAAGAGGTAAAAAGTGAAAAGCTTTACTGAAGTCAGTCCATTTGTCTAAAAACAGAAACTGCTGAGCAACCTCAGTATTACTGATAACCTGTTTAGCACACTTCAGTTCGGTAGGAAGTAGGAAGATGTTTATGCTTTATTAGCTTATACAGAAACTGTGACCTACAGTGGAGTAAACTGTGTACTTGCTTGTGTATAATCAGAACCATCAAATTAAGTTTCTGTGTAACCAGGCAGGTTTCAGTCCCTCCCACTGACATAACTTTGACCTGCCAACAAATTTGCATTAAAATGATCAGCATCAGTTTTACAGTCGGGTTCACCTCAAAGAAAGAAATCAATGGTTTCTGAATTTGGGTCCTTCCTGGAAATGCTCAGTTCATCAAGAGATAATGTGGGTGTTTGAATGTGACTGAAAGTGGAAAAAACTGAGGGGCATTAACTGTCATTAACAGTACAACATTTGAGTTCAGTTCAAAGGCATTTTGTTCTGACTGTCACAATAACATCAGTGGGGCCTGGTGACAAAGTCTGACTCACTGCTAGTGCTACATTTTAAAATGATGGTGCTGAGTGGGGCTCAATCTAAGCTCACTGTTGCAGCTACTTCAGAGCTTTGTGTTCCACTTGGTAATAAAGACACAGCACTGCTGAATATATTTAAGATAACACTGATAAGAGTAACAGTGTTGTCAACAGTAAGAGAGTGGGAGCATGAACCACAATCATCTGTGGTAAATAATGACTAGACTCAGAACTGATCAGTCAAATAAAAATGACTGTAAATAAAGGAGAACTCTCAGGCTGAAATAACAGGAGTGCTGAGTATCATTGCCCTGACACACTCAAGTAATAAAAGTGTGGAATCAAAGGTGACATGAGAAGGACCAACAAACAAGAAACAGAAGACGACAGGTGGAAAACAAGGACCGTGTGATCTGTCAGCCCCACATGACAAACACACTTCTTCAGCATCCATGGCATAGTGTCGAGAAATTATACTGCGAGTGCCGACATGCAGCAATGACAGAAAAACTTTTCTAATGAAAGCCAAGAACATTTCAGATGACACGAGGGACAATGGAACTAGTTTAAATTAAAGAGGTTAAAGCCGACTTATTACCCAGCAGACAGGCTGTGTGTGAGATTCTGTCCTTTAGTGAGGTTAACCTCTGCTGTCTTTCTGCTAGCTGTTTACATTCATTTGCTTCTCTCCCACCTGCTACCCTCACTTACACTACACAACAAATCTGTATGACAACTGGATGACAATGAAGTATTTATTTTGAGGCAGTGCATAAACTACAGGGGAAAACCGCTGACACTGTTGACTCAAAGCTAGGCCGCTCTTTGTGAATATCATACAAGGCAAATTACAAAATACAGCCTGACTGAGTAAGCTTACTTTTTCTACGTGCAGTGACTGCTCACAAAAACCATTAACCAACAGCCTCATTTTAAAGACATGAGTCATGATTTGAGTGTGCTTTATGGGCCTGAATATCTGATCAATGCATCAGACAAGATAAATATCAGGCCGTCTGACAGCTGAAAAGCTCAGTGGACTCATTCAGTGGCTCAATGACACTAAACCAAAGTTAATCTACTGTTGAATGACTTCAAACACTCAAAGCTACTTCAGTTACACAAATTAGCGTGTGAATGACTCCCTGTGTAAACACCATCAACACTGATAAAAGAACAGCTAACAAGCTAACAAGTCACAAAACTTGTGACTTGTTAGCTTTGAGCTTCACAAAACAAAGTAACTTCTGCAGCAGCCAGTTTGAGCCAAGCTTTAACTGTCAGACAGATGACCTCACATTTGACTCTCGAATAGTTTGCAATACAGAGCAGTTCATGAATCAGTCGATGACTGCAAGTAGTTTTGTAGTTTGTAGGTGTTTGTGCTGATATGGTGTTTGGTTTTCCTCAAATGGTCCCCTGCATCATGACCATACATCTCCACACCTGTCCAACAGACATTGTTGCACAAGTCTTGTGGTTTGTTCAGATGTAACTTTGCTAATCTAATAAATCAAGATTTCAAAACACAAAAACATATTAAATGTTTAAACTGAGAAAAATAACCATTTTAAGAAAAATAATAGCCCCTCCCTTTATATGTGAAATGTAAAACGAACATTAAGGGCAGACAGCAGTTATTGGGTTTCAGAGAAAAACACAGATTTTGCACTTGTACTAAGTACTGTGAAGACAACAGACTTGTTTTCACTGCCTGAGGCAAACACACCGCTGAGAGCAACCAGAATGTGACGGCGCGTGAGCAAAGAGAAACAAGCAGGCAGTGAATGTGAACCAAGTGCCAACAAATGCACACTTCAAACAAAGAAGTGTGTTATTCATTTGTTTGACTATTTATTCAGTATTTTTTTCCTATATTGTTTTAAATAATATCACAAATTTATTGAAATATTCTGATAAAACCTTAAGGCTATAACGCCCTCCGCTAAATCTAAATCACTGAGAAATCAATCAGTAGCCAAAAAGACGAAGCCTGCTTGACACCCTTTATGATTGATGATGGATTTTGTATTACAAATTTCCCTGACACAGTTCATCAAAAGAGAGACAGATTTCTTACCAGATGTTGATCGCCAGCCTGCTGGACACCAGGAACACTCTTAAGTCAGTATCAGAAGAATCCAGTGTACCTGCATTAATGAACGAAGAGGTCAAATGTGAAAAGCTTTCCTAAATACTGCAACTAAAGTCATCTGTCTAAAACAGAAACTGCTGAGTAATCTCAGTGTTGGTCATAACTGTGAAGTGTGCCGAGCAACTTAAGTGTTTGCAGGATTTGGATAAGTGGGAAGGTGTGAATGCTTTATTAGGTTAGATGGAAATTCCCACACACTCTTACATAATCTGATTTTCTCTGAGTTTAGAATTGAAACATTTAATCACTCAGTCAGTAATGAGCAAATATTCCTCTTTTCTTGGCTGACAGTTTTGCCATCACATTAGCAGATAATCCTTTCACTCTTGTCAGTGTAGTCGTATTGCAATGCCTTGCATCTCTCACCACCTCAGTCTCTGGGTTACTGCCCAATCTGAGCTGTTCCTCTGATATGCTCATTTCTAGTCCTGGGAATAACAAAGTTAAGTGACTCTGCCTCCTATCTTTCTGTTATTGGCACCATGTCATCTCACTATTGTGCAAAATCTTTGTCAATTAAAAACAGAACATCAATCAAGGAAATAATCTGCACATTAATCTGTGAAAAAAACCTGGCAGCTGCACCTCAAGTAATCCTAAAAAGCCACCAGAAGGTTCTCAGTTATAGCCGAGATACACCCTCCAGTGGCCGTGTGCGTTTGTGCTACCACAGCATGTTTATTCAGTGACTAATCCGAGAGGATTACAATATAGTTGTGTGGGATAAGGCTCAATGACTTGGAAACTACTGTAAAATGTTTACAGTAGTTTACAAGAAAGAGCAGAAATCATTAGATCTGTGCATGGCTGCTGGCATTACAGCAGTTTTACAGTCAGGATCACCCCAGTTAGGTCTCTGAATCTGGGACTTTGCTGGTAAGAGTTACGCGATAATATGAGTGCTTAAATGTAACTGAAACTGGTCTCTCCCACTCTTTACACTCACTTGCACTGCATTCACAGCAAACCTGTCAGACAACTGACATGCTCGCCCTCTGACAGCTGAATCTCAATGGACTCATTCAGAGGCTTAATGACACTAAACTAACGCTAATCTACTATTGAATGACTAACCACTCAAAGCTACTTCAGTTACATTGTGCGAGTAATTTCCTGTTTAAACACCATCAACACTGATAAAAGACGACTCTCTCTCTCACACACACACACACACACACACATACACTGCATTCAGTGAAGCAAACAAGTCATTCAGCTTCAGGGACCCGTGAAGCCTCAAACCTCGAGCAGTCACTCGAGACTTCTATGCTGGGGCAAGAATTAATGTGATGTTATCTCTGAGTACTAAAATGTTTGTTTCACATTGAGTTTCACAAGTAAACCCACTGACGCATCATCATATTCCCCTTCACCTGTTACTTTTCACTTGTACAGATTTGTTCTCGCACTTTGATCATTAAGCACCATGGCAATCCTTAACTCTACCAAAAAACACATACTTTCAGTACTGTATTTGATTTTATCATAAAATTCTTTATCAACACATAGCAGTTGTGAAAACAAAGTCATTGTCGTTCTGCAGCAGCCAGTTTGAACCAACATTTAGTTGTCAGGTGGCCTCACATTTGACTCTAGAATAGAGGGGGGGAAAGCCCAGCTCAGCAAATTCACCACACTTCCCTAGATGGAAATGTGGTGAATTGAGAACGGCTCTGCAAATTCAGTGAGATAACATCTTCATTAAAAAAAAACTCGTGCGATGGGATGTTACTCAAGTTCAAACGTCTGTGAAGGCAGACAAGCGAATACCTTTTAGGCAGTGTGGTGTATGCTCTTCCGCTGCCACACCCTGCCTTGTCTTGTGTCTCTAGACTCATTGGTACAATGTTGTACAAACACCATTTGTGTATTTTCATGGTCAAAACAAACGTAACTTGAATTCTGGTCGCACACAGGAGAGAAACCCCAAAAAGAAAAAGCCATATTTGTACTCGTCGACGTAGTCTGCGCAGGCTACACCAACTTAGCATGCTATAAGGCCAACATGCTAAGCCTAGTCCTTCCTTTGGTCAATTTAATGCACTTTCCCCGTTTTGCATTAGCTGAATCTTGTCTGAGCAGTTACAATAACCCGGGGGACGTGTCAACAACTTCACACTTGCTGGATATCCATGAGAAACCGTGAACGTTGTAGCTAGCGTCAGGGAAGCTAACGAGTTACCTGAACGGCTGGAGTCCTCCTAAATCCAGAGTGAAGAAAAAGATCCTTACTAACTTTCCCATGCCTTTAACTAACTTACTTTACAGACCCATTATATAAATAATTTTTCTATTTGTATTTATCTTTTATTCAGCTTCCTCCGTTACCCTTTATCTTAGTGAGTTGTAAGACGAGAAAGAAAAGAAAGCAGGAAATACACGGGAGAAGCGGGTATTTCCTGCTTTCTTTTCTTTGTGTTGTAGCAGTGTGTAGTGACGCTCTACCCACAGTCGGCACAGCCGTGAGGTTGTAAACAGACTCAGACGCTAACCAATCAGGATGAGCCTTGCGGGCACATAAGACCAATAAGGTGGCAGAAGGGGCCGTTCAGCGGACAGCGGACAGCTGGAGGTACTGTAGAGCCTTGATGGGACGAAACGCTAACCACCGTTATAAAGCGGAGAGCAGGGCATGGTTGAGACGTCTGCTCAGGGTAAGTATCGACCCGGATGATCAATGAGATACGGTCGGTATTTATAAGAAAAGTGACAGCTGCTGTTCCCCTTTACATTAGTTCGGCAACTAAAGAACGACAAAAGGAGGGAAGAGGACGTGTGGGGAAGCTGTCTGCTCGCCGCTGGATTTTTCTTTTCTTTTTTATATTTCATTCTTCTTGCTACTGGCCAGGGTTGCTTTATATTATGTTTCTATGGCAAATACGTGATAATTAAGTTTTATTCTCTACTACCTTGGCCCGCCCTGCTCTACCCCGCTTAGAAGGAGTTTTCTCTTCCGAAAGGACCCTTTACGCGTTGAGCTGGATTTAAGTGCCTTCACTACCATTCGGACAGGATGATACGGTTACCATTTTCTGCAGCTGTTCTTCTAGTTTTTATCAGCCAGGTTTTTGGAGACTTGATCCAGGCGAGTGTAGGGGATGATGTTAAGTTTGTCCTCTCAGATGAGTGCATGGAGGGACACGGGGCACTGAATCTACACCTGAAGGACGGCAGCATTCAGGGCGTGGCGTCTCTTCATGGTGATTGGGAGCCGGGGCGAGCTTACACTGACCGGGTGACTGTAAGCAGCGATTTTTTAATACTGACAAGTGTAGATTTAAATGACCAGGGCATGTATGACTTTACATGCAAGAAGAAAGGGAAGGTAGAGCTCACTGATCTGCAAGTATTCCTGCCCTCTGAAGTTGTTGTAGATGAGGGTGAGGATGCTGCACTGCCGTGCCGCTCCATCACAGCAGGTCAGAGGGTGAAGACTGCGCAGTGGAGGCGAGACGGAGAAGTGGTGCTGGAGCTGAATCCTCCCCAGGTTACTTATGGGAATGGCTTTGAAAGCCGGGTATCAATACCATCAGACTGGTTCCAAAGGGCAGACCTGTCCCTCAGCATAAAGCGAGTTCAGCTGAGGGATCGAGGCGTTTATTTCTGTGACGTGGACAAGGCGGAGCGACACCGCTCAGCTGTGCGCCTGAGAGTTCGAGAGATCGTCCCTGAATCCCTGACCAGCACGCTAAAGCCTACACTGATGGTGAGTACATTGACTTTACGTGTGTTTTATTTATTTTTACACGTGACTCCAAAGAAAACAGCGTGGTTGGTGTTGTTTGCTCCTCTCCTGCGTCTTTCTGACGCGCATTCGGATTTAATTTCTGCGGGTCACACTTTCACGGTGAAGTGGTTTACAGCAGACATAGAACTACATCTGTCTTTGATTTTCACAGTGCATCCACAACTCCACAACAAGTGCTGGCCCAACTGGTGGTGAAACTGGCCCCTCAGGTGTGGATGCAACCTCAAAATCATATCAGGGAAATTTACAATACTGCTATTTATGCTGATATGTAAAGAGTAAAAAAAAAAATAACATAAATGAAAGTGTTGAAAAAGTAAAACAAGATCCCAGCAGCTACATTATAAAACAACAGTACCGTCACCTTGGTAGAGTTTTCCCTGCATACTTATAACATGACTGCTTTACACTTTAGTTTGACAATAAATACAAAAACTTAACCTTGTTGCTGCGCAATATAGTCACAGAATAAAACTGACAGATGTATCAGGGATGTTCGGTCGTGAATCCGCAACAGTAAGTCACAGTTCCATTGAATAGTTTGAAAGTTCCTGCGTCTGAATCTGATCGCATTTCTGCTCTTGTATCCTCTGCAGCCGACACAGACGACTTCAGAATTAAACGGACTGGGAACTCTGGTCGCTGTCTGCATCACAGCTGTGGTGTTTTTGGTTTGCGGCCTTGTGTGTAGATGGCTCCTGAAATCTCACTGCTCCACGTACGTGTCACGTCTGCTAAGATGTTTTGGAAACGGAGATGAACACCATGATGTAGATGGGGTGTCGGAGCCTCTCAGCCATCCTCCTCCTCTGCAAATGAATGGCCACTGTCCATTAAATATGCCCCAGGCAGTCGTCTGAAGACCTTTAGGATCAGAATTTGACAACTTTTAACTTATTAATGCGCTTCAGCTTATTAATGTGTGCAGCTTATAATTATAATTATGATTTATTCTATTTTTTTTTTTTTAAAAAAAGCGATTAAAGCTTTCGTTTAATTTACTTTTTTTATTTTTCTAATTCTTATCTTTATTGCTTCAGCTGTGTGTGATTTAAATAAACAGTGTGTTTACACCACTGCCTGAGTGAGGCGATACATGTTCACCTTCAGTGCCTTCAGTCCTCACAGGCTTCCTGTATGTTCACGGTGAAGTCCGGACATTTTCACGGACACTTCGTGGTTCGCCTGCTCCATCACGGAGGCCTCGGCTTAGGTTAAAAGTTCCTCCTCCCGGACAGAAACACGTGGTTTGACAAATAAAAATAAATTCTATGAAGCCTGGTTCACCTTCTTATTAGAATCCGTTTTATAAACCTCAAACGCATGATTCTACCATTAAACAATACACGTGAATACCTTTTTAGGCCACAGTGCTTCTTGGATTCATTTTAATATTTTTAAACGTATGTTTACATTTATTTTTGTTAAATAAGAAGCAGAAATTAGTCCACTCACCTCTCAGAATCTACTAATGAAACAAACCCTCTCGCTCTCCACACAAACATTTTCTGAGGCGGATACAAAGAAGACAAATTGTTCGGTAATTTTTACATCAGCATTTATTTATCACTATTTAACACAAATCACTGCATAACCTTTCTTTTTGTATTTTCCGACAGAATTCGGATTAAATGATGTAATGATTGCTTACATCCACTGAAGTGTTCAAGATCAACTTAATGATTCACTGGTTGAAAACTGACAAAACGCGGTATGATCGTTATGTGTGGTATTATCAACACACAGAAAAGACTACATTGATAACATTATGTCCCATTTCATCACTGACTTGGTCGGAAAGTCAGCATGATAATAGTATGTAGAGCTATTTAAATCTGTCTTTTTTCTCTCTTTTTTGGAATTTTTTTTTCTGTCAGTGTCATTCACTAAACGAATTTCCTTAAAGAATGGAATGAATTCTACACATGTGCGATATACACATTAAAAACCTAAAGCCTACACTTCCACTTTGAATGTACCAAAAACGACTTAAAACAGGTTTAAAACGATCAGATGAGCTGTTTGGATTTAGTGGCCTAAAGGGCCTCAGGTTGAGCCAAACGATTTGCACAGGCCTGTGTGCAGCGCTGTAGTATTAGGCTCGGCCTCCTGGCTCTGATTATTAATGGTGGCCAATTATTGCTCAAGCACGAGAGTCTAGACCCATTTTTATGTCAATAAATCAACAGTAAATCGTTTTTTTCGATGGTAAAAACGACAGGTTTATGCGGAATACGTGATTTTTCATAACTGTTGCAGCTCTCTGTTGTATACTAATAAACTGTTGATCAAAATATAATTTCGGTTATTAAATGGAGAGCGATCTTTACGCATTCGGACGTTTTTATCTCACGCCGAATGATACTGCCCCCTTCACTTCAGAATCACGGTGTTAT